TAAATTAGAAACCAATAACACGTTAAAAAAATCACCACTTAAAAATTAACATACTTATAAATAATCCATAAGTCAAAAGGATGATTAAGGGGAATTTAGGAAATATTTATAACTAAACAAAAATTAAAATGCACTATATCAATATTTGGGGGGTCAGCTGACAGCATTGTATATGGGAAATATATAGCATTAAATTAGAAAAAAATGAAAGATATCAAATTAATAATCTATGTTTCTGTGTTAAATAGAAAAAGAGCAAACCTAAAGTAAGCAGATTGAAAGAAGTAATAAAGATTAGAATAGAAACCAATGATACTGAATATTGATACACAATAGAGAAAAATCAATAAAACCAAAAGCTGGTTCTTTTAAAACAAAACAAAAAAACTTCCATAGCTTTGAAATGGATTCTAGGCTTTGAGTGGACCTTGCTTTGATTTACATATTCTCTTATCTCCTGATCCTAATTGAATTATTAGGTAATTCTTGCTACTAGACTTAGAAGACACTCTATATTGTAAAACTAACTTTTTGTGGCAACCAGTCAGTATTTGGGAGATTGGGGTTAGGGCCTTGACCAGCCCTGGTAAAATGAACTATTTAGAAGTTAGACCTAAGAAACTGAAAACAAGTAGTACACCATAGTATTGTATTCTTATTCTCCTACTGTTTTGACAACATGGCTCTGCGTAACACACATGTATGTGTATATGTTTGAATCAAGACAGATTTAGGACACTGAAAAAATAGATGATTTTTTACAAAATAAATTTAACAGATTTTTGTTTGTATTTCTACTTAGAAATTATAACTTAATATAAGTGATACCCTAATATAGAACACTCATTGTCTGAGAATACCAATATATTTAAAACTGTTAGTGAGGTTTACATAATCTTTTTAATTTTGTGCTTTTTATTTCACATATGCACATTTTGAAAACCTGGAATAGCTATATTTCAATAGTACAGATAATTTCATTTCTTGCTGTTAAGGCAAAATGTGTGTTGTATTTGATTATAAAATTTACAGTAAAGTATATAAACAAAAGTGGGAGAATTGAGTAATCACAGTATTAAGTTATATATACATGCCAAAATCAGAACTTATCCATTATAATCAACATTCCATTCAATTTGCAGATGAATGTAGTAAGACTGTCCTCTATGTACCAACTTGCATTAGTGCATTATCAGCAAGTAAAAATAGGTTCATTGATAGCATAGTAAAGTAAGAAAAATGACCCTGAATGCAAATTATCCATTATGCAAAAATCAATGATCAAATTCATAATAATTAAAATAAGAAGAGATCTAATTTCTTCTTTCATGTCTCTCTCAGTATATCAGCAAATTCTGTTTTAAAATATATATATATATCCAGAATCTGACTTCACATCCCTTCCATTAGTAATTGCCCTGGTCCAAGCTACCATAACTCCTGTCTGGACCTCTAAACTCCCTTCCTAGTTAGTTCCTCTGCTCCCCTTCTACCCCAACAACAATGTTCTCCCTACATAGCAACTAGTGCCATTTTTGTTTTTAAAGAATAAAATCTATCACTCTATCCTTAACCTTTCAATAGCTTCCATCAGATAAAATCCAAAATATTACCAGAGCCTACTGGAGTTCGTACCTAACATGGTCTACCTATATCTTTAACCTCCTTCCTAATACCTAGTTGCTCTCACTTATTGCACTCCAGCTTACTATTTCTCAAATGAGCCAAATTCTTCATCATCTAAGGACCATTATATTCTTTCTATCTGGAATGCCTTTCCTTGGATCCTTGCATGCCTCACTCCCTCATGTCACTCAAGTCACTCCCTGAGAGATGTCATCTCTATTATATTCAAACCAGTGAATCCATCCCTCTCCCCTATTCTATTCTGCTGTATTTTTTCTTATTCTATTTTATCATGACTTGGTATTATTACATATACATATATATATTCATTGTTGGTCTTTCACACTAGAATATAAACCTCATGAGTACAGACATTTGTTCAAACACTGCATTTCAAGTGCCTAAGGACACTGCATGGTGCCTATTAAGCCCATATTTATTGAATTAATAGGTAAGCCAATATTACGTGTTAATTTTTGCCATGGTTCACATATTTTGGGAGCATAATAAGGAAATAAAATTGGAATGTTAGTGAAGGTTAATACTGTGTTAATTTAAACAAAATATACTATTCAGTGCTTAACTATTTTTATATGTTCATTTCTATTCCTGAAGATATTCTTCAGCTTCCAACCATGAGAAGCAAGCTAGTGATCTTTTACATATGATCTTTTTCATTGTCTTAAGAATAGGTTGGGACTGAATTATGCTTCTGATGTAGTGGATATTAGTTTCTGATAGACAAACCTTCCTACAGATAACTAAAAATGCTGGGCAGCAACAAAAAATTCCACAAATGTGAAGGTTCTTGAGAATGAACAGGAGTAGGTGTATTTTGGAGGGGAGTTGGAACTTAGAAGGTGGCACTGCATGGGGTGAGTTTTCCATTACCCCATGGGTGATGGGATAAAAAGAAAAAAGCCCTAAGGTTTTTGTTTGTTTGTTTGTTTGTTTGTTTGTTTTGTAAGTCAGCTCTATGCCTAACGTGGAGCTTGAACTCAAAACCCTGAGATCAAGAGTTACATGTTCTACCAAGTGAAAGAGCCAAGTGCCTCCCTATTTTGAGACTTTTAGTCTGAGAACAGGCTGCAGTCATAACTAAAACCCTGGACTGCTAAGCTTCTGATGGAATGCCAGCCATATTTTTGCCCTAAAGAAAAGAGGACAGAGCTTAGGACAACCAAAGCCACTGCAAAGTGAAGGGAAGAACATCCAGTAAAGGATAGATCCAGACAATAGAGTCTAAAATTCTAGGTATAAATGTTCCCAAGTGTCTGGCTGAGTCCCAAACCAGGAACAAGCAAGGCAGATTCAAAGCAGATTATAACTAGACTAAAATGATGAACTGAGATTTGGTCTGCTGTCTACAATCAGCAAGGCCAAGTTTGCAGTGTGAGTTTTAACAACTTAATGTCTCTATAAAGTAAAAATGGAATTACATAATAAAATCTTCAGTCTCTACAGCACAGCATTCAAAATATCTAAGAGACAATCCAAATTTACTTGATATGTGAAGAACCAGAAAACTATGACCCGTTTTCAAAGTAAAAGATAATAGAGGTCAACACTGAGATGACGCAAATGAAATGATCAGATAATGACTCTAAGGCAGTTGTAGTAAATTATTTCAATGAGATAAAGGGGAAAATGCTTATAAATAGAAATTTTCCGCAGAAAAATAGAAAATATAAAAGAAAACTAAATGAAATTCTAGAACTGAAAAATATTCAGATAAAATCTGAAAAATTTTAAAAATCACTGCATAGACTAACCATAGAATGAAAATGACAGAGGAAATAATCAGCAAACTTGAAGATCTAGATCAATAGAAATTTTCCCATATGGAGAAGAGAAAAAGAAAAATATGGGAAAAAAACAAACAGAGCCTCAGGATCCTATAGAATAATATCAAAAGTATTTTTTGCATATATGTAGTTGGAAGTCCCACAGGGAAAGGAAAGAGAATGGAGCAGGATAAATTTTTGAGGAAATAATGGCTGAGATTTTCTGAAACTGAATGAAAGACATAATTTATAGATTCAAAAAGCTCAGCAAACCCCCCAACAGTGTTAATACAGAACAAACCCCCTAGGTACATGATAGCAAATTGTTGAAAACCAGAGAAAATTCCAGAAATATCCAGGGTTGGATAGAGAGAATCAACCTTGTATACTGAGTAATACAAACTACTGTGGATTTCTTATCAGAAATGATCTATGCCAGAGACTGTAGTAAGTGTTGAAAGAAAAAAAAATCCAGAATGATAAGATAGAACACTAAGAAAAAATTTTACCAGCAGCTCTGCACTACCATAAGAAAGTTCTTCAGGCTGAAGGGAAATGGTACTAAAGGAAAACTAATTTTCAGGAAACAATAAAAATCAATGAGATGGCAAATATTTGGGTCAATATGAAAGTTTTTTTTTTTGGCCTTAATGTCCTTAAAATACATGTAAATGTCTAAAGCAAAAGGTGTAGCATATTCTTCTGGGGTTTATAATATATGTATATGTCATACAAATGACATAGCAACTGCAGTATAACTAATAGGGTGGATCATGAAGGATCTAAACAGTTGTAAAACTGCATTGTACATGAAGTGATAGAATATTCTAGTAGACAGTGTAAATTAAGAATGTATATTATAATCCCTATAGCAACTATTTTAAAAATATAAAGAGGTATATTAAAATGCCAGTAAATAAAAATGGAATTCATCAACTGATCCAAGTAAACATCATCCATAATTGGACAAATGAAAATCATGTACCACCAGCCACAAGAAGAACATAACATTACTTTTGTGGTATTTTTGCCAAAAATCATAGCTTGAACTTAACCATAAGGAAACACCAGCTATACCAGATGGAGAGATGTCTCCATTATCCACAACCAACAAAACCAACCAAACAAAAAATTTTCCCTTAACATTCAAAAGTGTCACATCCTTGAAAATCAAGAAGAGATGAGGAACCTTTCTAGAATGAGGGAAACTACAAAGACATGACAAATAAATGTGATATGTGATCCTGGATTGGATCACTTTGCTATGAAAGACATTAATAAGATAACTGGCAAAACACAAATGGGGTCTGAGGATAAGATGGTAGCACTTATTAACACTAACTTGATTTTGAGGGTTATAGTTTGGTTATTTAGGATTTTAGGACAACGGTCATGTTTATTAAACATATCAAACTAGGGGTGATAGGATGTCATTTTGACAACATACTTTCAAATGGTTCATTAAATGAAAGGTTCTTTGTACTCTTGTAATTTTTCAGTAAGTATGAAATAATTTCAAATAAAAATTATCTGTAGATAAAAAGAATTTTATATGAAATAGCAGTATAAAGCAAATGGCATTCTCCATGAGAATAACCAGAACAGAATACAGTAGATAAATAATTTATTTTCAAAAAAGAAAGTCTGGAATTGCTTCACTCATATAAAATTGACTAGCTGAATATGTTGATAATTGCAAACCTTAGGGGAATGTGGATATATTTATTATAGGAGTTACAGAATTCTTCAAATTTATAGATAAAATATTAGAAAATACAGTACTGCTACCAGTTTTTAGAGGAGGAAAAAGCATGTTAACCACTAATCATAAAGTTGGACCAGGTAACTTTCTGGATTTCACGATAGTTAATAACATTGACTTGACAACTTTTAGAGTGAATCCAAGGTAATAGCTATGAGAAAGACAATTTTTATAAGAATGTCAAACAAGTCAAACTAATTTTTGCATACACTTGATTTTGGTCCTAAATTAGGTATTTGGTTAGTAGTTAGACTCCTCCTGCCCGAATTACTGGTCTGACCTGCCTTGGGCAAAAATTGGCAGCTGTAAACTCCAATTATATAGGTCATGCTAGAATCAGTGTACCAGTTTCTCTACCTGCATATTTCTCATACCTTATGTTTGTCATTTAATTGTGCAATGACTCTAAAGAATGCAGCAGAGTTCACTTAAAGGTAGTTTCATATTAGCATACCAAAGCCCTTGAATATTCTTATGTTACACATAGTATTTGATGATTCATAATGTAGTAGCACCCATTTACTGCAATATTTTCTCACTAAATCACACAATATATATGTTAATGATACATCTATCGCTGGCCCAGTATTCTGTGCACTCCTATTGGGCTTTGATGTTGCTTTTTATCTAATATAGACTTCATCTAATTATAAATTTGATTGATTACAAATTTCTCTAATTTTATCTAATATAGATTTCTAATATGAATATGTGTCAGTAGGTGTTTTAACTGGTTGTCCTTACAGGACTTTGCGATCTGTACTTCTGGATCTGTGACGGTGAACTCTGTCCTGGACCCCAAGTACAGCCTGCCCAAGTGACACCGTTAGGCGCTGTCTTCTCTCTTTGCCCACGTACATGTTTCCCTTATCACGCTGTCGTACAATCTGTAAACTTTTGGTTAGTTCTGTTTCCTTCTCTGAGACGAAGCTTCTTGATGGTAGGTCATAGTGTCATAATCCAGTCACCACAGGACCTGGAAGTATTCAGTAAGAGATAATTGAGTGGGAAGAAGACTATAAAATGACTTTTTGTAAATGAGATATTATTTTTCTTTCTTTTATTTTTTTAGTATGTATCTCTCCCACCAAATCTCCTAATAAAGTTTGAAGCAGGTAACACTAGAGTAATGAGTATCAGATCAATGATCTTTAGATTCTATTTACAAATTTCAGAATTTTCCAATTTCCTGCTTTTTGTTTTGTTTTTCCAAAATGTAGGCTGGTTAATAGATTTTTTAGTAAATATGTAAATTTTTTAAAGTTTTCTCATTACCTTCCTGGACAACTAAGGAGGAGTTTTGCCAACAAATAGGTACTTGTTAAATTTTATTTAAAGATTTTTTTTCTAAGCTAGATTGTGTTTTATTTAAGCTATCCAGACTGGGGCACCTGGGTTTGGCTTAGGTCATGACCCAGGGATCCTAGGATCAAGTCCTACATCAGGCTCCCTGTGAGGAGCCTTCTTCTCCCTCTGCCTGTGTCTCTGCCTCTCTCTCTCTGTGTGTCCCTCATGAAAATAAATAAAATCTTCAAAAAAAAATATCCAGACCAAATATACCTACAAAATGTACATAAGTGGTAGGAAGACATGGAATGAAAATTGCAGAATTTAAAATGAGTAAATTAATTTCCGTTCCCCTCAGGCTGCATGTGGTTGATAGTTTTATAGAGACCAATTCTACACTGTGGTGTGGTTAGCTACTTCATTTGATGATATACATGATTGATCATTTGAAGTGGAGTTCCTGTTGAACCAGATGGAAATGGAATCATTTTTTGCGTCACTTAAATTAATACCAGCTGTAAAGTTCAAAAAAACCATTTGTACATTTAATTGTCTTCCTAGACTTGATAATTCAAAGTATGTGAATTTACTTACCTGTATGAGAGGTAAATCAAATGACTTATAAGGAAACAGACTACCTAGAAGTGCTTAAGAAGTGCTTATTTGAGAAGCTGAAAGAAAAATAAAATAGAAGATAGACTATAGACAAGTTAATATTTAAGAATGATTAATAATATGAGATCAATTATGAGAATTATTTTTTTACTTCAATATTTGAGTCAAAATATTCCATTGTAACATCTTGACTTCTGTTTTACCTTTGTTGAAGGTCACTCCTTTTTCTCTTCACCGGTAAAAAGTTGGCTGGAAGAGATGAGAAAGGAAACCAGTTGCAAAGATGCACTGATGGAAATATTTGGTGTAGGATGCTTTTGTCCATTATTTGCAAAGCCAGTTAAATTATAGTTTGATGAATTTATACAAATCTTTCAAAATGGAGATATTGAGACATTATATCCACTACAGTAACACTTGCTTTTATAAACTCCATACAGATTTTTTGTTACTACATTGAGCAGTATAACAGTATTTTTAAATGAAATTTTTGAAAGATTGTCAATGATATTATTTCATAATAGATCATGTAAGATTTCCATAGATAAGTATGTCAAATTTTATTCAGTGCTACGTTCAATACTTCATCACCTCAGATTATAAACGAAGCAATAGACTTCTATACAAAGAAAACTCATGTAAATGAAATAATCTCAATTATGAGTGAGGTAAAGTCAGAATGTGAAAAATGGTTCATCTTATATGACAGCATGTATCATTTCCAGCTGCTTTCTCTCTCTAATCAACACATTTGCTCACAATGACAGCTGCCTCTATAGCTTGTTTTTTAAACCATTTGCAACAAATTAAAATGGGACCAACGCATCCATAGTAAGAGAACTCAGGATTCTGGGACATGTATGTTCCTAATAAGAAGAAAGCCAATTCACAAGCCAATCACCTGTTTTACTTTTAGGCTTTGTTTCATGAAGCCCTAATAAAATTTGCGATCAACACTAATATAGTGCAGTTCAGAAATTTATAAATATTTTTTACAGAATAGCTCCATTTAAAATTGTATATCAGATATGCACAATATAGAACCTAGCTTATGTGTTCAGAATAAATATTTTAGGGAAAGCAATATAGGAATTCTCTCATACCATAGTAAATTCTTATTCTGAGCCATTATGTGTGTCATGTTTATAAGGCTGCATTAATAAAAGTTAATATTTTAGATAGCATTTGACCCCAAAGACACATTGAAATGAATTGGTATAAGTAACTTTTTTGGAATACATCTCATAATCTGTTTGCCAAAGAAATCCTTCTTCTATTCATATACTTTTTAGAATATAATGATTTAGTATTACCAACTTTTGCACTGTTGGAGAAATAAATATTGAGTTGTTAATGTATTTTTATAAAGAACTCCTTTCTCTTTGCAATTATCATATTGAGAGAAGAAAAGAGTAAATGTAATTTAGGTCAGACTAACACATCTTAATTTAAACATTGAAAGATGTGTGTTTGAAAGATCTCAATCTCCACATGTTCTAGAAATAAAAGCCAGACAACACAATAAAACTTCATGCATCCCATAGAAGTCTGAAAACCAGTTACTTAAAAATTTTACCATCTGCTCTCATTGAAGCAATAAGACTGAGGCATTTTCCCATGTTACAAACCATGATAATCAGGATATAACAGAATAAAAAATTGTAACATTTTCCCCCCTTTCTTATTTGCTGTTGTGGTTCTTAATGAAAACTTGAGCTCTGCAAACAAAGGAAAGGGGAGGATATTCCCCCGCCCCGTCTCCTAATTGAGCGTTTACATCCAGTAATAGCTTTTTGCTGCCCTGGGCAGCATGACATTGCCTCATTTGGCCACGCAAAGCTATTATTCTAGGAGGCAGCTCGTGAAGTGCCCCAACCCATCTGCTTGCTTTTCATGGGCTGGTGCTCTCCTTGATGTTGACAGCTGTCTTAATATTCCTGGGCCACCTGCCACATAGTAAATACTGTGCTCTAAGATATATACAGAGGCTTATCCCTTTGGTGGACTTTTCAGAACAAGAAGCTTAGCATTTCTAAACACTTGCATCCTTGTTTAAATGGTTCAGAAATCAGCACTTTTAGTCTATTCTCATGCCTTTGAGGAGTTTATTGCTTATGCTTTGGGAACCACACTGTGATGAACTTCAGGTTTTCTCATGTATCGAATAAGCTATTGAATTGCGGTCTGTTTGTGGAAGTCACAGTGGTCACAGGAGGTGGAGACAAGAGAGTATACTGGCAGTTATTTCCTCTATGAACCTTCCTGGAACCTTCTAGGGGTGTCCATCCTATATGCATGCTCCAAGAAAGATATCCCTATTACACCCCTTTGCTCATCTGTTACCCATATCAAACTTGCCCCTTATGGGAAAGTATCTTACTCATCCCTGTGTCTCTAAGAATGAGCATGCATCTGACACATTAGCTGGCACTTAGGGACAGATCCAGGTTTGGAGGTATCTCAAGGTTTTTACAACTTGAGGGTCGTTTTTAAAGAAAAAGGGATTTAAAAATAAGAAAAATTAAATCAATGAGTGAAAAAAAATCATGCAAATTACCAATTTTAAAAAGTTGAGGGTGTTCAGTGTGGTTCAGTTGATTAGACGTCTGCCTTTGCCTCAGGTCATGATCCCAGGGTCCTGGGACAGAGCCCCACATCAGGCTCCTTGCTCTGTGAAGAGTCTGCTTCTCTGCCCCTCCCCACAACTCACTCTCTCTCTCTCTCTGACAAAAGTAAAATCTTTAAAAGAAACTCAACTAACAATACAGACATCACAAAATCTAGAAAACCAATATATTTTCCATTAACTCCTTAGCATACCTCTACTTTTTCTTTTAATTTTGATAGTATACTCTCTTGTAGCCTATCATATGACAATGATTTTAAATTTTTTAAAGTAATTTCTATACTCAGCGTGGAGCTCAAGCTCCTGATCCCAAGATCAAGAGTCACATGCTTTACCGACCAAGCCAGCCAAGTGCCCTAATGATGATTTTCTAATATCATTTTCTATACATTTGGTTGAGGATATTATTGATGGAAGGGCCGTGTAAACATGCAACACTCCCACCCATATACTCACTGTAGTACTGCTACAGGTTTGTGCCCTACAAAAAAATTCTGATGAATTCTATGTTACATTATTTTCATATAAAAAATTTGATGCATTTACAGTTATAAAAATTGTATACATTGCACTATTTTTTAAAGATTTTATTTATTCAAGAGAGCACGAGTGAGCAGGAGCAGGTTGGGGTGTGGGGGAGGGCAGGAGGAGAGGAAGAAACAGACTCCCGTGTTGAACAGGGATCCCTATGACCCCAGGATCAACCCACTGAGCCACCCAAGAACCCCTGTACTGCATTATTGAATGTATTACTGCTATGAGAAAAATTACATCAATTAGAAGGGATTCTTCCTCTTGTGTTTTGTCTTTGGATGCCTGGAATAATTTTCCACAGTCCCCTTTTTGCTATTATACATTTTAAATCTTGTCTCTCTTCTACTATCTGCATATTTTCAGTGTCAGGGGTCTTGGGATCTGTTTATATCTTAATAGGACCTCTGGTCTTGCATCTTTGATATAATGCTTAATGAGCTGCACAATAGACAAACTGGAATTTAAGCAATAACTAAATTTTGAAGATACGACCATATAAATATACCTCACTAAATCTACACTAAATATATTTCCTACTCAAATTCCCCAGAAGATGCCAAAATGTCCCCCAATAAATCCAACAACTACCAAGTTCAGAAGTATGATACTGGGGGGTGGGGTGGGAATCAAATGGAAAGAAATTGTGATCTTTATCCATTGCACTTAAAACATTTCCTTGTATAAATTTCACAGAAACACATGACCATGTGATCACATTTCCAGGTTCATACTGGAAGAGACTGTGCCCGTGAGGGGCCTTGAGACTTCAGCTTCATCAGCTTCACAGTAGATAGTTTCTACCTTAGGCCTTCGCCAATGTCTGTGGAACAAATGAGTGAGCAAATGAGGACAACTGTGCTAAATTGTCATCTCTGACATCCTCACAACTCTAAAACTCATTTTTACAGACTTCTTAATGCAAGGAATACTAATAACTTAGTATTCAGAAGTTACTGTGTGTCAGAACATAAGGATGTAGGATATCTAGAAACTGATAAAGACTAGAAAAGTAAATTGATAAAAAAAAATTCAGGGGTCATTGTTTTATGGCTTTAAACTAATCTCTCATAGAGTTTTCCTTAATGGAGGCAGGGCATAATTCGTATTTACAATTCATTCAAAGTACTGCTTTGTTCTACCGCAGAGTGGAGATTCGAGTATCCTTAGACATTGCTTCCTTCATGAAGTAGTTGCTTTTGAGAAAAAAAAAAAAATCTATCATAGATCTCTATTGGCCCAACTGTTAACTTTGGGACCTTTAATAACATCTGTAATATCTTAGACCTTTACAAGCTGTTCATCAATAGAAGGGATTCTAGCTAGAGGAGCAGTAGTGTTATTTCCACTACTTATATTATCCTCAGCAACACTGTAGAAAGTTTTTATTAAAGACTTTACACATGACGATTCTAATGCCTTCTCACTTATCCAGGATAGTGGCTACGGAAGAAATATGGCTATCATAGCATTTCCCTTGAGAGCTGTTTTTCAGAGAAATTCTATTCTTAGAAAGCTATTATTATTAGTTAAAAGCATAATTCAGTACTAAATCTTGCTGGATCCCACCCACTTTTATCCCCAGGAAGACATCCCAAACAATCCACCTGCTGGGTGGGCATTAGGGTATAGGGCCCGCTTTTCACAGTACAGTTGGGGACACATCTGGTAGTCACTTAACATTCCTTTGGGGAGATAATTATTCTCTGGGCCTTCTAGCTGGAGGGAACAGTTTGCTTCCTAATCTCTTTGTTCTCATGTTCTCTGGGCTTTCTAGTAAGTTGGTATTTAAGGGAGATTCTCCCCTGAAATAAGGCAAGAATTGGGAACTTTACTTGTCCTATGTATTATCCTAGCTTTTCCCTATTTTCTCAGACTCACAGAGAAGGAGGAAATATTTCTAAATGAGAAAGCACTGGTAAGTCTTGAATCCAAGCTGAAGGGAACTGGGCTGATTTCACTTTGGCGAGTTGAATCAAAGCCAGAACAAATTAGGGTGAGTGTCTTGGGCTCTGCAGCAGTTAGTAGGGGCTGGAGTGCTTCTAGGAGGCAGCTATGGGATGGCAGGGAAGCTCAGCTGCCACCAGCTGATGCTGAGAGAACTGGGGCTTAGAGATGTCCATTTTGCTCAGAGCAACCTTCTCTTCTCCAGCACCCCGAAGCTGGGGGAGGGATGCCCCCCAAGGTGCCTTCCTCCCCTACCCAAAACTGCCTTGGACATTTCATTTACTTGTAGACAATTTTTATACAAGTAAATGTCTGAGATCTCTGTAAGTATCTCTGATTTCTACACGGTCTCCTGAGCAATTTCGTTTTAAAACAAGCAAACAAACAAATAAACAACAACAACAACAACAAAACCCGCCTGGAGTGGAGGGGCCTCCGTGTTTTCTGTGCTAGCCACTAGGGTATATTAAAAAACAAACAAGGGGATCCCTGGGTGGCGCAGCGGTTTGGCGCCTGCCTTTGGCCCAGGGCGCGATCCTGGAGACCCGGGATCGAATCCCACGTCGGGCTCCCGGTGCATGGAGCCTGCTTCTCCCTCTGCCTGTGTCTCTGCCTCTCTCTCTCTCTCTGTGACTATCATAAATAAATAAAAAAAATTAAAAAAAAAGAAAAAAAATAAAAATAAAAAAGAAACAAAACCTTTAAAAATCCATAGTACTGTATTAGTGAAATTAAGTCAGACACAGAAGAACAAACGCCACACGCTACCACTTAGACGATCAGTCTAATAAAGCCAAATTCATCGTAGAGTGGAATGAAGGTTCCCTGGGGCTGGGGGAGAGGGAAGCAGGGAGCTCCCAGTCAAAGGGGATGAAGTTCCCGTTAGGAACACTGAGTTCTCCCTAGAGCTGTGCCTGCGGCCTCGTGCCTACGGGTAGCGACCCTGTATCGTGCCCTTCATTTCCTAAGAAGGCAGTAAGTGTTCTCAAATAATACAGGGGCGGGAGGAAAGTTCTGAAGGTCTACGGCGTAGATGGTGATGGTGGTTTCCCAGGTGGACGTGAACGTACGTTTACCGCCAAACTCGTGAAGATGCAGGCGGGAATCCTGCGGGCTCGCTGTGCCGAAGGCGCGGAGGGAGGGAGACCCGGACGGAGACCCGGACGGAGACCCGGACGGAGACCCGGACGGTCCCCCGGCGGCGGGGCCCCTGTGCCCGCGCGCAGCAGCCTCAGACGCGGCTTTCCAGACTCCAGTTAGTCCGTGTAACTAACAAGTAAGAACTAAGATCTCAACAGGTCACTTGTGTTTTGTCGGGGTCGTTTTTGCAACACGGAGTGTGAGAAACGTAAAGCCCCGCTGGGTTAGGACGGGTCTGCGCACGGGCCGGGCCGAACGAGAGGCGAGCGGACAGGCCTACGGGGCGCCTGTGCCCCACCCTCCCGTGGGACCGCGCCCTGGGGCGCGCCCCGGGCACCCGGGGGGCCGGCTGGAAGGCCGCGGGCGCTGACGGCCCGGGCCGGCTCAGCTCTCAAGCCTGAGTTGGCAGCGTCACAAGCAAGTCCGAGCGCTGTTCTCGCTCCCGGGCTGCAGAGAGAGCGGAAGGCAAATCAGTAACGAGGAAGGGCGGCGCGCAGAGCCCAGGGGGCTGCGGCCCGAGCTCCTCCGCGCGGGAACCCCCAGGCTCCGCGGCCCTCGTGCGCCTCCCCCGGGGACCCCGCCCGCCGAGCGCCGCGCGGGGCCGCGGCCTCCGGCTCCTCCCGGGACGGGGGGCGGGGCCTGGGCGCGGGGCGGGGCGGGGCCTGGGCGCGGGGCGGGGCGGGGCCTGGGCGCGGGGCGGGGCGGGGCCTGGGCGCGGGGGCGGGGCCGGCGCGCAGGGAAAGCCGCCGCCGCGCCCGCGCCGCTCCCGCCGGGGCCGGGCTGAGCCGCGCTGGCGGTCGGCGCCGCGTCCGTCCTGCCGTCGCCGGGCTCCGGGCTCCGGGCTCCGGGCGCCGGGCGCCGCGCCTCGCCTCGCCTCGCGCGCTGCCCGCGGAGCGCCCCGGGCCGGCCGCCGCGCCGGGGACATGTCCGGAGGCCGGAGGAGGGGCGGCGCCCCCTGGCACACCTTCTCCCGCTTCTTCGCTCCCCGAAGCCCTTCCCGGGACAAGGCAGAGGACGAGGACGAGAGGCCGGGGACGAGCCCGCCGCCCGCCGCAGGCCGGGGCGCTGCCAGGTGGGAGCCGCGGGGACGTCGGGGGCGCGCGCGGGCCCGGCCGCCCCCGCCCCCCCCCCCGCCCCGCGCCGCCCCCGCCCCCCCCGCCCCGCGCCGCCCCGCGCCGCCCCGCCCCGCGCCACTTTCTCTTCTCCTTTCTTCCTCGCGGTTCCGCCGTCGCGCCCCCGCTCCCGCTCCCCGGCCGGGTCGGGCTGAAGCGCTGCCCCGCGGCCGGGCGCCCCCCGCCCCCCGCCCCCCCCCGGACGTGGTCGGGTCCCGGCTCCGCGCGTCCTGCCGGCGGGAACGCGACCCCGCTCGGGAGCCCACGGAAGGCGCCGCCGCAGCGGCTGTTTGGCCGGCGTCCGGCTTAGATTCCCTCAAAATGACTTTTTTTTTTGAGTTTAAAGAATCGTGACCGTGAGTTCCGAGACTCGGTCGGCACACGGAAGCCTCGCTAGTTGTACTTCGCGCCGCCCGCGCCGGCCGGCCCCGCGCCCCTGCGGGACCCTCTGCCTCGACTTCCCCAGCGGGGCCCGGGCGGCCGGGGAAGCGCGCCCGCCCCTCAGCCCGGGCGCCTCCGTCACCGGCTGTGGGAGTGGACGTGCTCTTACACGGTCTTCCCGAGCCGCCTCACCCGCTCCGGGGCCGCGAGGGGCGCGGGGAGCACCGCTCCTTGCTTTAGCTCGTGATGGGCAGAGGCTTGTCCTCGCTGCCCTCCCAGCCTGCCCGGAATTGTGCAGCCCGGGCTGATGGCAGGGACGCTTCCCTAGAAAATCGTGTTTACCTCAGGCTTGAAAGACTTGGTGGAGGACCTCCGAGGAAGCCGCCTCAGGAAGCCGAGCGGGGCTCCTTAGCGCCGGGTCTCAGGTTTGATTCCCGTCGGCGAAGCGTCCCCGCTCTGACCGTCGGGAAAGCGCCCGTCGCGGGCCAGCTTTCCCGGAGGCTCCAGCTGTTGTTGCCCCGTCTCGGGAGAGCGTAAAATCCGGCGTTACACGTAAGCACAGCAGTTGACGAGACGTGCCGAAGCCCGGCCGGGCTGCCCAGGCTGTCAGACGGGCCGGGCCGGGCCGGGCCGCCGCGGGCGCTCGGGCACCACCCACCTCGTGTGAGGTGGAGGCGGCTTCGAAGCGAGCCGGACCGGACGGAGACCTGGAGTCGCTGTTAGGAGCAGGCCGGCCAGTTGCGGGCTCCGAACAGAACCGTGCGGAAAACGCCGCTCGCCTTGCTGCCCTAATTGGGCTTGCTAGGCCCCGCTCTAATCTCCTCGGTCTCTGGTCCTGGCCAGCCGCTCCGGCAACTGGCCCTCCGCCCACCTAGCACCTCTCCGTGGTCACCCTCTATCTCCAGGTGGGCGCCGCCGCCGCCGAGGTTCGTGACTCTGCTTCTGTGAACACTCCTTTTGTCCTCAGCTTCTTAGAACTCTCCAGATGTTAAGGGGGCAGCAGGTGATCCTTCAGTGGGTGTTTTGCGTTTGATTTGAGCTCGAATCTTTCTTTTTTCAAGGACGTGAGTTACACACAAAGCCTTTATTGGAAGTTTGATGAAACAAATGGAAAAGTCTTCTTAGTACCCGGTGTCCCAGTAACACAACACCCTGGTGTTAACGAGATTGGAAACAGAATTGCGATATTAGATCTAAGAACCGTGCTCTTATTTCAAAATGAAAGGGTATATTGGCTGTTTAATTTGCAGTCTTAATGGGAGCCCAGTTTGCCTTTTATACTGGTGACCCCAACAGCAGACATGCGGTGCTTGGAGTGACTGACTGGTAGGGATGTTAAGACGACTGAAAAAAAAAAGAACCTTTCTCACAAGAAAGTACAAGACACTGAAAAGACCACTTGAAAATAGTAATATCAGTACATTTCATGTATCTAGCACTGAATTTATCAAAATAGTCTTAACAGTATTACAGTTGAGGTTGGACGAATCTTTGTGATCAGTGTCCCCATTTTACTTTAAAAAAAGTTGAATTTGCCCAAAGTTACTTTTCAGTTAATGAACAAGTATTCAAGTCCGATGCTATACCTGCAACCTGTAAAAAACATTAAGGGTTCATATCTGCTTAATGATTTTTCAGTGTACTTGAAATGCATTCTCTCAGACCTTAAGCTTGTGTTGTACAGTCTCCTTAGTTGCACTCCCAGTGTTGCTTATGTGAATTTTACTATAAAACTTACGCATGTACAAATACAAAACGGGACTTAACAGAATTCCTTAAGAACAGAATGAAAAATCAAGCATAACCATATGTCCAGTAAAACTGCTTTTTTTTGTTTTTGTTTTTTTTTAGATTTTTATTTATTTATTCATGAGAGACCCAGAGAAAGAGAGAGAGAAGTAGAGACACAGGCAGAGGGAGAAGCAGGCTCCATGCAGGGAGCCTGATGTGGGGCTTGATCCCGGGACTCCAGGGTCATGCCCTGGGCCAAAGGCAGGCGCTAAACCACTGAGCCACCCATGGATCCCCTAAAAGTCAGTTTTTACGCATTATCTTAAAAACTCTTTTTTTGGCTCTTCACAAAACGCATATAATACCAGTTGGGACAAGCACAGGGTCTTTGGTGGTTGCCGTGACTGGACAACTGTGCTCTGCCATGACTCAGGTTTTCCAATATTCCCTTATTTGAGCCATAGGAAAGCCTTTGCTTCTATGGAGTGCTCTAAGTTATTTGGGCTTCATCTGGTGTGAACACCTCATTTATGTATTGAGTTTGCTGCTATCCTATTCTCATTAACCTTTGGCAACTAAAAAAGGTCTGTTAACATCAACACTGTTATATATGCAGATTCAGGTATGGACACTTGAATTGCTCGTTAGTATTCTTCTTGGGTGACTGACCAGGTCTCGGAGGTGCTTATATTTATTTTAGACTATGTAGAAAATAAAAAAAACCTGAAGTTTTCATAGGAAACTTGAGAACTCCGAGTTCTGTGGATCCCAATTTGAGAGTCACTGCTATAATTTTTTTTTAAGATTTCATTTATTTATTCATGAGAGACACACAGAGAGAGAGGCAGAGACACAAGCAGAGGGAGAAGGGTCCACGTAGGGAACCCAATGTGGGACTCGATCCCAGGACTCCAGGATCACACCTGGGCCAAAGGCAGATGCTCAACCACTGAGCCACCCAGGCGTCCCTGCTATAATGTTTAACCCAATTTATGAGCACACAAGTAAAGGACTCATTAGAAGTTGTAAGGGAGAGCAGGGAGCAGGCTTCGTGGTCGAGGGAGTTTTACCTGGTTCTTCAGGGCATTGGTAGTGTTGTATTAGAGAACTTAGCTAGGAAGACCGAATTAGGAAACAGGTGTTCTACGTTGAGCAGAGGCCTATAGGAGGTTATGATCTGTTGGAAACTATATACATCAGTGGGACAGAGAGAAAGAAAGGTTGGATCTAGGTCACAGAGGTCTCTAAACAGTATTTGGCTCTTAAAGTTCAGACTACTTTTGTGGGAGCCTGTTAGATACTTGCTAGAATATGAAGTTTGGAGGATACCTGCCTATTGTTCTCCACTTTGAGAAAATGATTGCTTGTTTTTGTTTCTTTGCATCACACATGATGGGCCTGTTTAAAAGGAACTCTGTGTGATATTTTAACTCCTAGTTAAAATTTATGATGGACTAACTGTACACATTGCTGGGCTAGGTACATTCATTCATTCATTCATTCATTCATTTATTTATTTATTTATGATAGTCACACAGAGAGAGAGAGGCAGAGACATAGAGGGAGAAGCAGGCTCCATGCACCAGGAGCCCGATATGGGATTCGATCCCAGGTCTCCAGGATCACCCCCTGGGCCAAAGGCAGGCGCCAAACCACTGCACCACCCAGGGATCCCTGGGCTAGATACTTTTACTAGCAGCTTCTCATTTAAACCTCAGCCTTGGAGGTTGGTATGCTTATCACTGTTCTGACAATTGAGGAAACTGAGGGTGGAGAGTTCTTAATGGTGAACACTGTTGGCATCTTGGGTGGAACAATGCTTTATGGAACTGGACTCTGCTGTCCTTTGCGGGACATTTGGCATCCATGACCCCGCCCATAATTGCCAGTAGCATCCTCCAGTAATTGGGATAATTCAAACACCTCCACCCAGGTGGATGGGAGGTAGGATACCACTCCCATGGAGAATGATTTAACCCAAATCATGAGAGTAGTAAGTTTCAGGGGTGAGATTTAACCTAGGTTTCTCTGACTCTAAAGCTATGGTTCTTTTTTCCACACCATCTTGCTCACCACCCTTCAGAACTTTGCTCATTCAGAACACAGTTGAATATATAAGTCAATTGGAATTGTTCATACTTTATTCCAGAATGGGTGGCAGAAATGTGGCCCATTTCAGATTGACTCTTCTTGGCTGTTTTTTTCAGTGTTATAGTATATTGTTATTGAGAGAAAGAAGGTAAGACGCTCTCTAGCCCAAGGACAGGGGCTGTCTTATTCATCTTGGTGTCCCCTTTACCTAGCTCAGGTGAGAAGTGTATCACTGTTGATAGAGCATGAAGGCACTTATTAGTGGTTTTCAACCGGAGGTAGTACACCCCACATTAGGCATTTAGAGACATGGGGGATCTCAACACAGTGTTTGGCTCTCTCTTTAAAGTTCAGAGAATTTTTGCCTGACACCTGATGTTGAATGGGTCAAGCCAGCATGCTAATGGTTCGCTGTGCAGGCGATATTCTCAGAAAAAATGGCAGTAGCGCCTCTGATGCATGAGAGCTACTGGCCTTCAAGTTAAAGAATGAGTGTTGACCACAGCATCAGGTATGTGAGGAAAGGGAGCTTTGTTCTCTGAATTTCTATGGTGATTGTGTTTTCATTGATTTGAAAGCACTGTGGAAAATAATTGGTAATTAGTTTAGTTGAATAGGAGATACCTGTGTGGTCTTGAAGGACCACATTAGTTCATGCCATTCGTAATAAAGATGACTGGGAACGTCCAGAAGTCCTCAGCAGTGTGTATTTTCTGAGAATCTTGAACTCCCAGGTTGACCGAACGCTCAGAAGCTACTTTTGGCAGTAGAGTAGAAATAGAGACTCTTTTAGGGTGTTGAAACCATATATCATCTTTCAAGTGAGATATCTATCTTTGGGGTTTAACAGGGTGTCTGCCAGATGCCTAATTTAGGGACTCTGTTTCTTGGTTGAAGCTCAGTTGTACACTCCAAGTGTTAAAGTCGCAAGTACCTCACATTGTCCTACAATAAATTTATGTCCTCAGAATTTCTAACTGTGTTAAAACAATGATAGCCTTTTTTTTTCTGTCTTAGAGGAAAATATGTAAGGGGATATTAACAAATTTTGTAAAGAGGAAAATAATGTTCTCTTCAAGATAAGATATTTCATTTTTTAACCAGAGTTCTGGTGAAACACACAGCAGCCTAGGCATTGCCAGAAATGCTAATACAGCGGCAGTCGTAAGAAAACATAGGCTGGTGTAAATTTAAGCTGAGGAAAATAATCTGGGATATCTTCTGTGAAGTTCAGCATGAAATAAAAGTTTACAATGTCATTTGTTTGAAGTCTGTTCATTCCCTAAATTTGAATGGCTGCTGTGTGTCAAATATGGTACGAAGCAGTGGGGATAGAGATGAGTGAATGACTAGAAGTGCCCTCAAAGAGGTCATAAATTAACAGAGGAGATACACATGTACATCTCTGCTCTCAAGATGAGCTCATCATAAGCCAAAAATGTGTTTGGCATATGTGACTTGTTTGGTTCAGAACATGCTTACTGCTTGCTTCATGGCTGTCAGCTATCGTATGAGAGCTTTATTGGGGCTTTCAAAATATCTTCCCACATTATTAGCTTTTCTGTGAGCATGGTTTGATTAACATCCTTTGCCAACCAGAATATTAGGGAGATGTGAATAGAAATGCTTTTCTTCTGTTCTTGCTCTTCTTAGGCTCTACAGATGTGGCAAGTTCTAGATGGAGGCAGAGAAGCACATCCTCTTGGGAATTAACATTTCATATGAGTGGAGATCCTTACACAAAATAGCTTGGTGCTGACAGAGAAAGAAATTGAAGCTTTGTAACCAGAAAGAACTCATTCTTAATGTTTGGTCGGCAGTTGTGATGGCCGATGGTAGAACTCCATCCAGCAGGACTGTCCCTCCATGTATAATCCCTGGGGGTATTTAATTGCAGTAAATTAATTTTAATTGCAGTAAATACCCCAAAGCAGTAAAATAACTATTTTCTTAGTCCAGTGTTTTGGGGTTTTTTGTTTTGTTGTGGTTTTGTGTGTGTGTGTGTGTGTGTGTGTGTGTGTGTTTTGCCTAACAGATTAGTGACAACAAAACTAATTTGTCGTTTATTAAGGCCCTAATCAGACCCAAGCCCTGTGCTTGGGACTTTGAAAATATACATTCACTTAATCCTTAACAGACTTTGTGAGAGGTATGTTTACACTCTCTTACAGAACTATAATTTAAGGCTTGGAGAAGTCCGATAATTAATCAGAAGTCTCACAGCTTCTGTGGTAGAGTCAGAGTGAAATTCTCCTTCCTGAATTCAGAGTCTACTACAGCGTTTATGTGATTGCTTCCTCTGCTTGACTTAGGAGGACCCATAAAAGAAAGCTTGCTCTAGAAAATGGTTTGGAATGGAAATAAAAGACAATGGCATGCAGCTGGACGTCTGCCCAGATGGCTTGGGTCAGCACTCTGTACGATAAAGAGTTTGTGGTCCTGACAACGGGGAAAAGGAAAACAAATGTATATATCAAATTATAAATTTGTATTTAATCCCATGAAAATGGTCAACCTCCTTCAAAAGACGTGCAGATGGAAAGTACAGCAAGATGCCCTATTCCACCTAATTGATAAGCAAAAATTGTAGTTTACCCGTATCTAACTCAAGTAGTGACTGGTGGGAGAATAAACTGGTACACAGCCTTAGGTTCTTTCAGTAGCACGGATTCACATATTCTGATTCGGCACTTCTGGTAGGAATTCCATCAGGTGTAAACAGTTTGCCGACAGGCCCAACATTGCCTATGCAAGGCTAGCTGTGGCATGTTGCTTTAATAGCAAAAGAAATAGTTGTGTCCTATCAAGTGGACTAAGTGATAAATCATGTCCAGTCATATAATAGAATATTACACAGCTGCCAGAATGACAAAACTTCTTATGTGCCATTAAGGAAATATCTCCAAGTTTCTTTAAGAATGATAGCAAGCTGGAAATCGTTAAGTGTAGTATGCTCCCTTTCCCATATAAATGGGGGAGTGTGAAATAAGTCTGTTTCTGTGCTGTGTTAACGGGGCGGCAGGGGGGATAGGAGACTGGCTTAAGAAAGGAACAAGCGAGAGAGACTTCATTTTATATCTTTTTATATATTAAAATGTATTACCTATTTCAGGGGAAGAGAGACTAAGACCTGGTGACTATCTGTGCATAAAGAGTGAAAATCAAGAGAATTTGTATTGATCCTGACTTGGCAGAGATCTTCCAAAGGATGAATGAACTGCATTAACTTGTTTGAGAAGAGTTACAATTAAAGCTATAAATGAATAGAAGTAATATTTATAATGCAGAGAAATTTGATTATTTTGACTGTCACTTAACTGACAGTTTGAATTCTGAAAGGTGATGACAAAATTAAGATTTTTTTTAAAGGACTAATTTTAAAATTATTTTTATAATTTGTATAAACCTGTATACCATTATAGAAGACCATAAAGCATCACTGTTGAGTGAAAAAAAAGTTCAAAATCCTGAAGAGAACTACTTTTTCATAAAAATATGTGTATATGAGGAAATGCACATAGGAAATAATCTGAAAGAATAGTATTTGGGTAGGGATACGAGTTGTACTTTTCTTTCTGATTATTTCATATCTGTTTTACAAAAGCATCTGTTCCTTATTAAAAGGACAAAAAATGCAAAGTATTGTGGTCGATTTAAAAAAGCAAACAAATGCAGTTTGAATGTCTAAATGTGCTCTGCTTGTATAGGGTTTGCATTCAATTGTGAGCGGGTACAAAATTAAATTCTAGAATATGTACTCTGAAGTACGATAAAGCAGGATGAGGGGATGGGACATGATGGAGGCAGTGACTCCAGAGTAAGATGTAGATGGGATGATCATGGAAGGCCGGCCTCTTGGGTAACATGTGAGCAAAGACCTGGATGATACTTGGCAGTGAGACAGAAATATGAAGAAAGAACTTTCCAGGCGGAGAGGACACGCAGCTCGAGGGCCCTGGGGCGGGATCGTGTTGACATGGAAACCACAGTGAGCAGAGACAACAGAATGGAAGGGACAGTGACTGTCAGTGATGTGGGGGAGGGAGTCAGGGCCAGAGGAGGTAGGCCGCGGTAGGGAGTTGAGATGTTTACTTTTTGAAAGTGTCATTTGGGCATGTGTGTGTATGTTTATATATTGATGCTAGGAGAATTTGCCTTGAGAAAGAATTTGAGTTGGTGGCTGGAGGTGAAGCCAGCCTTGGTCAGGCTCTGGGAAGGCACAGTCTCACCTGTCCTTGGATCTCCAGCAGCCCTTCCTTAGGACAATTGCATGACTACTACTATATGAATGAGTGCCCGTTTTTAGAGTATTGAGTTCATGTCACAAAAAAAAAAAAGATTGAGGGTGTTGATTCATGTGAGGTAGGTCCTAAATGTTCAGAATCTGAAGGGTATGAGAGAGGGGACTTTGGGCGAGGAGAGCAGTTACTGGTGTCGCATAATGACAGCTCAGGTACACATCAGACATACCAACATTCTCTCTAGCCTGTGATTGAACTGCAATTATGGGTCTGATTTTGGGGGCACGACATGGGACAGGAAGTAAACCAGCTTCCATGTGGATATGTAAATTACAGGAGAAGGCTGACATAACAAGCGAAGGACTGTCAGAAGAGCCTAAGATTGCAAAGTAGCGGAGCTTCATCGTCGTGTCTATTACCCTCCCTCTTTTCTCCCAGTTTTTTCTCCAAAGAGTTATGAAATGCAAATGCCAGATGTTTGAGCTAAAATACAAGCTATTCGACTGCCTTAAAATTGCAGCTTTTAGTTACCTTTTAATTTGAAGCCTAGAAATAGTGCCATAACCACCCGTTTTATATTCTGTTAATGGTCATTTAAAAAATACAAGTACTATTCAACTGCTGGCAGTCAGTGTTTATGAATGGACAGTTTTCCAGATGACTGTAAATTGTCAATGTGGAACTCTTTGTCCCCACAGAAGCAGGTTTGGAAATGCTGATGGTGGCTCCAGGCCAGTGCACTAAAGTCACTTTAATCCATAATATGCCTGCAGCATTATATTTTTTTTTTAATTTTTAATTTTTATTTATTTATGATAGTCACACACAGAGAGAGAGAGTGAGAGAGAGGCAGAGACACAGGCAGAGGGAGAAGCAGGCTCCATGCACCAGGAGCCTGACGTGGGACTCGATCCCGGGTCTCCAGGATCGCGCCCTGGGCCAAAGGCAGGCGCTAAACCGCTGCGCCACCCAGGGATCCCCCTGCAGCATTATATTGAACAAAGAAAACCTCTAGGCTTGCTGTGTGAAGCTGCGTTTGTAAGGAAAAACTTCCAAGGTGGTGTAGATGCCCCCAAGGCAGCAGCAGACCCTTCGAGAGTCTGTGGGGACAAAAGGCCCTACTGTGTCTTAAAGACCCCAGGGAGGGCTAAGAGGGTGGAGCCTAAGGGAGTACAGGACAGGCCTTGAGGTGGTCTCAGTAGGTTGGAAACAAGGACTATACATGTTTCTGCCTCTTTCTCAGAATGTCCTGCTATTAATTTTGATACCGAGTTTTGTTCTTGGTTGGTCTCTCTATTTCTTCGAAAACTTCAAGGTTAGTCCACCTGTTTCTTTTTCCATCCTCCCTACCACCGGGGCATCATATGGGATTTTAGATCTGGCAAAGAGCTGGTGTGACACGCATTTCATTTCTATTTCAAAAATCAGATCTGGAAAGGTGCATTTTGACTGAAGTGACTTTTGTCCTTAAGGTCTATCCCTGAGACAGACCTCTAAGTCCGTTTTGCAAAGCATTTTGCTTACTAATGACAAGAGGAAAGGGTGTGGATAGGTAAAAGACCCCTTCTTGTTCCACGTTATTTGTTCATTTAGTTCTTAGAGGTAAAGTTACACCTGGAGGACTATGAGTTGATCACATTTCAAAGGAAGGCCTGATTCTGGCTGCTTCTAGAGTTTCACCTGAGGAATGGTGTCAAGTGGGCCCTAAGGTAAGGAACAACATGCCAGACAGGAGGCCGATGGAGTTGTGGTGGAGAGGGTGCCACTGTGTAGGGGACCAGAGAGCTTTATGTTCGCAGTGGGGAGAAAACAAGAGATTTTCCTTGACTCTCTTTCTTTGTCCTCAGCCCCGTGGGTTCCTCTATCGCACACCTGGCCTCATACAATGGAAGTGAAAATCGGAGTGGGAAGATCATTTCAGGCCCCATCAGGCTGAGTGGGATGGAGAGGAAGGAGAGAAGGGAAATCCTCATTTCCCTATGGAAAGTCTGTGTGGACGGTGAATCCGGGGGACTGTGTACATGTATAGGGCGTTCCCAAATTGGGGACTGCGTTTTATTAAGTGGCTTTGTGTTTAGA